GACGTGCATGCTCTGTTGACTTTCGCGCATAGTATCCCTTCGCCTGTGAGAGGTTTCGTGCTCGGTGCCTAGGGGCTTCAGGATGCTCCGACTAGGTGAATCCAAACGGCGACGTGGCACAGACTCAGCATTGCTCGAAGTTTCATCCGACGCCTTGAGAAAGCTACGCTGCTCTGGTCCAATCGGGCGGTGCGGCCTCGGATGCGACATGAGACGAGCTTCCGCTTCCTCGTTTCGCCTTTCAGCCCGGAAGCTGACACGAACTGGAGATCTACTTGAACTCCTAGTACGTCTTTCCTGAGACTCGCTCCGATAGACAACTCTCGAAGATCTTGTCGGCGGCGGGGGCGACGGACTGAGTTCGATGATCCTTGAGCTTGCCCGGCGCGATGGACTTCTCTCGACCTTCCTGTAGGAGTGAGCACGGACAACGTCTGGAGGAGGCCAAACCTCGTCAGATCTCGAGGTAAGACTGGGAAGTGGCGGAGGTGGCGCAGGGTACACTTCATCCGACCGTGTTTCTCTAGTGCGGACGATGTCAGGCGGGGGCCAAACTTCACCAGCATACCTGGAAGAGCGGCGAGGACTCAATGAGGAAGCTTTGAGTTTTCGTTCCGACCTAAACTCTCGTGTCGGCTGTTGAAGTACTCGCAGGCCCAGGCGCGCCTGACTAGACTCTCGTCTAACAACACGAGGACGACTGGGAGAGTATCGCGTGACGTAGATCTCCTCTCTATTTTGCCTTCGGCCCCTACGCTCATCATGGTCGATGTCGATGTGGACACATTCTCTAGGCCAGTCGCAGGGTTCTTCGGCCGTACATCTTCGAATGTACCTGTATCTGCTGCTTGAACGATGTGCGCCTGCAAGCTTCTTTTTGCACCTTCGACAGGGTGTGGGGATCATGGGCTTGCCAGGAAGGACCGGGTTATTGCGATGGAAACCTGCGGAGCGCATCTCGCCGCAGTGACTACAGGTGTGACAGAGCATAACTGGCACAGCTACTTCTTCTACCTGCGGGGGTGGTGCTTGCGCGGCATGCGATTGTCCGTATTGTTCGTAGTGGTATTGCTCGCTTGTCTGCCTCGATCTTGACTCCATAATCTCTTGCTGCGTGTTGCGTGACGACGGTACCATCGCGCTCGTAAGAGGAGCGACTCGTCGACGTTCCATCCCAGAACCTGGATTGCTATACTGCCAGTCGGCGTTGTACCCTGGCGGAGGCGGAGGTCGTGCGTCGTAGCCCTGTGGAATAGGAGCGTGTCCTTGTGGTCCGGCTACTGATGGTATCTGCTGTTGATCCTGTTGTTGTGACTGAGGGCTTAGGAGCGGTGGTGGGCGCTGTGGGATCCCCAGATGATTGTACACGCCCTGACCGTATCCAGCCTGCTGAGGGTACCCAGTCTGTTGAGGATAGCCTCCCTGGTATCCGGGAAAAGAAGCGACGGACGAGGCAGCTGGCGGAGGCGTGGGTGCTGCGGGAGGGACTCCGAGCCCTTGGAATTGCTACACGGTGGGTAAGCCAGGTTCTATATTTGCTGACGCACTGCGCGCGGGCGTCGATGAGATGGGGCCGAACATGATTACGTCTATTCTTGCTGTCAGCCAACTTCTGGTCTCAGGCGACAATGGCGCACTTACACATTGTAAAGATACGAATTGGCTGGCCGGGCGAAGGAGCCGGGGTACTGAGGAATTGGCTGGCCTTGATCTTGGCTTTGCCCGTTACTGCCACTGCCGCCAGTGCGGCCCATATACGACTCAAAGGCCCTTCTCTGTTCTTCGTTCGCCATATTGTGGTTTGAGCAGGTGCGGACGTGCGACTCGAAGGTGGAGGGAAGCCGGAGGACTGGCCCTGGTCGTGGGTCCCACGTGGGCGACCGGGAAAGCGCGAGGAGGTGTTAAGAGGAAGGAGCGACAGAGAGAGATGTGGGGTAGACAAGTGATGGTTGGAAAAGCATGTGAGAAAGCATGTCGACGAACGTGGAGTCAAGGTGAAAGAGCAGACGCACAAGCAGGATTGCGCGACTGCGAAACCGCATCTCCAATCATGATAGTCAATCTCACCGCAACTCACCTCCAGGATACCGAAGATGGGACTTAAATATTCTTTTATTTCTTCCCAGACGCCCGCCTGCGAACAATGCCAATATGGCTTCTTATTTGTACAAATGCTATAGATCTCTAGCAAGATTTTGATACGCCCATCACGTCTACTCAACTCTCAACACCCTGGGTCCCTTCCTCTTGGTGGACCGCTTCTTCTTGTGGCCCTTGTCGAACGATACGGCGCTTTGATGGTCGCGGCCAAAGTTGTCAAGATCCTTGACCTTGTAGATCCTGATGATCCAGTTCTCGCTGGTGAAGGCCTCCTCGATGGTGCTGAGCTCGGGGCCCTGCGCGGGAAGGCGCGCGCCACGGACACGGTCCTGGGCTTGTCCGGCGGGGAACAGCGCGTTGTAGTTGTAGTAAGACATCTTGTACCTGATCTGCTGTTAGTATCTGCAGTATATGGTGGGGACTAGATCTCTTACATCAAGCTGTTCTTCATGGTGGGGGTAGCCTCCTCGTCTACACGGTACTCGCCTCGTGGAGTGAAGAAGTTGCGCTCCTTGACCTCATCGGGCCAAATACCCTCGGCAATCCTGACCATCCAGAGGAACTTGTTGATGTCGTCTCCAGAGTAGCCAAGTAGACCACCAAAGACGACCAGTACGTAATCAACCTCGTGTTGACGCATGATGGGGTAGCTGACCTCCTCCCTGGAGCTCATAGCCTTACCGACGGTAGCAATGTGCGTGTTGTTCCAGGTGTTGTTGTCGACAAGGGTAGGGCGGTCGGCCATACCACCGATCTGGTATCCGTAGTCCCACCACGACATGATCTTGGCATTCTGAGGGGTGTTCTGCCTGAGCCAGTAGTATGCCTCACGGTAGTCATCGATGATGTGTTGGCTACCGTCAGGAAGTCTGGATGCGAGCACGACGGAGGGCGAAGAGTAGGCGTTCGAAGTGACCCATGTGCAGTGCAGAACGAACAGCATGAGGTAGATGGCGGCGGTTCCGGCGACGGTAAGCTTGGAGGCATACGAGTAGATGCCGACGAGCGGGTTGCGTGTAGATCGGAGACCCTCGGGAAGGATAGCTGCAGCAGCGACTGCAGCGGTATCGGTGCTGCCGTTCTCGGTGACGGGCTTGGGGGTCTTGACGTCGAGGTAGGTGTCAAGGATCTGCGAGAAAGCGATTGCCGATGCAACGCAGACAATGGGAGTCAAAGTGAGCATGAGACGGACCATGACACCAGCGAAGTAACTGGCGAGCACAGCGTAGATGACAATGAAGACCTGCTCGTCGGTCAAAGTGCGGAAGCACAGGTAGACACCGGCGGGGAAGAGCCAGATCATCATGTTGAGATCGAAGAAGAAGGCAGGCCATGCGGTAGGCTGGTGCTCGGAGACGGAGGCGATGATAGGAATGTGAATCTTGGCGTATCCGGTATCCCAGAGCGAGTAGAAACGGCCAGTCCAGGGCGCAATGACACCGGAGACGGTCAGAAGCACCAGTCCTCCGACACCGATGAGGAAGACGCTCAGAACCAGAGCGCGGAGCAGCGTCTGGAACTGCTTTCCGGGAAGCTGTGCGCGAACCCAGTCGACAAAGGCCACCAGCTGGAGGAGACCAAAGACACCGAGCGCGGACATGTGCTCGCTACTGCGGATGGGCAGGAAACCGACGAAGGGAATCTGCATACTCGCAAGCGTACCGAGCGCATACCACGAAGTGTAGCTGACGTACAACCTCGGGCTGTATCGTCCCATACAGATCAAGACGAAAGCGTGCAGGGGCAGCAAGTTGGTGATGAAGACGTATCCACCCCACGCTGACACCATGTATCCGTAGAACAGCGCAGTCAATGCACCCCAGAACATGGATCCGAGCTTGACTGCCTTGATCCACAGGAAGAAGGTGAAGACGAGCAGGAAGATGGCAATGGCCTCGTTATCGTAACTTCCTGCGACGGATCGCGAGATGTAACCGGGGGTGATGCCCATGAAGGCTGCAGCGAGCAGACCGGCCGAGGGCGACGGGACCATCTCGGAGGTCAGGAGGTAGGTCGCGAGCGCGGTAAGACCTGAGAAGGCAGGCGCGAGGAGGACACAGATGTTTCGAATGTCGACGGGCATGGCGAGAGCGCGGAGGGCGTGGTAGATGACACCGCTGGTGACCATCAGTCCGGGGTAGAGAGTACCACCCGTGACTCGTCCAAGAGGGTGCCATGTTCCTGCATTCATGTCAGTCCATTGTAGCTACATGGCATTGGGGCATGCGGCGGAGATGCGTACGGTCGTCGAACCAGTCCCAGAAGCTGTAGAAGCCATTCTGTACCAGGTATTTCGTCGCTCGGAAGTTGAACCACGGATCGACTGCATTGTATAATCAGTCAATTGCCCTTCCATTCCCCAATTGTAGTACTGACACTCGTGGATGATGCTCTCAAAGCGGATTACGGAGAACAGACGACTGCTTACGGCGGCGGCAGCGATGAGGCACAGGATAATAACCCGGAGCAAGCCTCGAGTATTGCGGCCGGTCGCCTGCTTGAGCAGCTGCCCGTCATCTACGGCGGCAGCCATGTTTGCAGGAGAAGTTAAGGAAGGTGAGGTTGTTGGTCGCAAGGCCGCGTCACGGAACTTCTCGAGAGCTATGCTTCATGAGCACACGTTTCCAACTCCACGCCTCGGCATTTGGTTTCGCCGACCTTCAACACCCCTGCAACGTCATCACCATCACCATGTCCGCGACAGCCACGGGGCGCCATTAAGCATACAACATTCTTTCACTTTACGTCGATTTACATATGCGAAAATTGTCTACTGGGTATCTGGATCTGCGCTCTGAGATATCACTAGTCTGCGCAAAAGAAATCCATCATGAAAGTCTCCATCTCTTCGACACTGCAACTGGCGCAGACGCGATGGTTGCAGTTGGCGCAAGCAACATCTACAACACCGCAAGGGTTCTGACATACGCACTGTGTTTATTAGCACTGTTGCAAATAGCTGAGACGGGTAACTTACACAATAGCGATTTGTTACCAGGGTCTTTTGTCTTCGCTTTGCGTGTCGTTCGCCATATGCCGAATCTTCTGAACGCTGTCGTTTTACTGCAGTTCCTAGCGCGATATCACCTGCAAGTGGCGAGTGTCGCATCGATGCATGGCTTGACATCGGCATACTGGGCATGTCGTTTGGAGGAGGAGGATGCGGCTGTTGCGGCTGTGGAACATCGTCGTCCACGTCTCCGGTAGCATCCACATCGCCGTCCTTTTCCCTCTCGTCCTCATCGTCAAAGTAGTCTCGTTTCTTCTTCTCTTCTAGCAGCTCTTTCTTCGGTCGGTTCTCTTCAGCACAGATCCAGTCATCGATAGTTCTCCTCTCCTTCTCGAAGTGACGCGCGATGTGATCAAACCGCTCATCCCAAGCTGCATTGCGCCGCTCTTTGAGCGGCACTATATCTTTGCACAGGCCACACCAGAAGGTACCTTGGCAGTTCTTGCCAATCCTGCGGCGGTTGACACTCTCTTGAGCAGCTTCACACGCCATCTTATGCTCCCTCTCTAAGTGGTTCTTGAACGCTCCTTCGCGGTATAGATGCACACCACAGACCTGACCTGTCTGAAGTTCCTGGCCGCAGCGGAAGGCTTCCTGCTGGAAATGCTGACTGTTCTCGTGGCGCTTCCAATCTGACTTTGCGCCAAAGCGTTTGTGGCACCTGGGATACGTGCATCCATAAGGCCTGTTATGTCGCTTGATGTGCTTACGCAGATCGCAATCACGAGCGACCGCAAATTCGCAGCCAGACATCGGACATATCTTGCCATTGTTTGAAGAGCTTTTGCTGGAGCGACGCTGTTCTGTGTCGGGGGATCCTGGGCCTTTATTGACAAGCTCAGCCATCATCTTCAACAATGCATCATTCTTCTCAGACTTCGACGGCCTCCTGGACATATCGTCGCGATTGGCTTTTTGTAGCAACTCTAGTATGCGACTCTCAATATCCACAGGCTCCGGCGAATGCAAGCGCTGTTCAGACTTCCTCTTGAGCTCTAGCGCTTGCTGCTCAGCCTTAGTCTGGGGTGCATTGGATAAAGACGAACCCTGTGATGACTTCTGAATCTTGAGGTGGTTACTTCCAGCTGCGCTAGGAGCGGCCTTGATAGTGGAGAGAGAATCTTGTATTCCCGGTGCATTGTGCCGAGAACGAGTCACCTTTGGCACTTTCTGAATGCGACTGTTGTGCGGTGCGGAAGTAAACCCAGGTCCAGAGAGCCGAGATAGTGGCTGTGCTTTTGGTACAAACACAGAGTCCTGGCTTGGCGAAGATAGATATCTGGCATCCTGTATCATGGGAAAGTCCATCATAGAGATGTTGCCCATCGTTGGGCTTATGGAGAAAGGAATCTCCATGCCAGCAACTGTTGACCCAATGTCCAGGGGTGTAACAGTTGTTTTACTCTCTATAGGAGAGTCGACTCGCCTGGGTCGCCACACCGATCTATCAATGTCAGCTTAGCTGACTCTTCAAGTGCGAAATGTGCAAATCTACCTTTCCACGAGTTCGAGCACGTTCTCATCTTTGTGCATTCTCTCAACATGCTGCTTGAAGTTGTCTAGACGTGGCCAGATTTTCTCTTTGTTTCTACAATCCTCCACAGCACACTGATAGGATTTCTTGTCAATGTCCTTCCGATGTAGGCTTTTCTGATGCCGCTCAAGATCGTTCGTAGTTGTGAATCCCTCTACTCTTTTGCAGCCGGCTACGTCACACTTGAAGGGTTTGCTGTGTTTGAGCATGTGTTTCCTGTCACCTTTCATCAGCACATGGCTATCTTATAGTGATGCCGCATACGCACTTGAACTCTGAGTTGCACTTGAGTACTTCTGAGCACTCATAGCATGGAAAGTCTTTCTTTGACCTCGACCTCCCACTACGACTGCTGACGTGGGATCGCTGATCTGAAGGCATCCGTGACATCGTAGGAGCCTCGCTTGTGGCAGACTCGACATGCATGTTGTTAATATCTGACATGATACTTGCCGATAGTTCCTGATGGAGATGATCGGGCTCATTGCTCATGACAGACTTGGTATTTCTCGAGAAATAGCCCTCGTCAGATGGCAAAGCCTGACTATCAACATCAGATTCCGGACCCCATGGGAACTGGAAGTTCACACTCGATCGAGGGGAAAGACCATGAGAATTACCAGACTGAGATAGCCTCAGATTGTACGGGCTCCATGCTGGCTCCGGCCCTCTAACTGCAGTCGAGCCATGATAAGGCCGTACATATTGTGGATCGAGAAGGTCAAAATCCCTCGGCATATGGGATCCAACACCATTGTCCAACGGAGAGAGATTGGTCTGACGATAGTTCATGCGATCGAAATCTCTTGCATGTGAAGTATTTCTTGGAGTATGTAAGGAGGCTGATGAGCTAGATCTTTGGCTCCGTACACTATGTGCACTCCGTGGTTGTTGGGAAAACGTGCTCTGCTGCGTCTGCACAGGATCAATGTGCAGTGCAGGTATCTGTCGGCCATAGTATTGGTTGGGAACTGAAATGTTGTAAGACTGTTGACAGTCCCCGTTCTGGTTGTGGAGTGACATGTTCGCTATCATGGGTCAGCATCTTTCGGGGCTGCCTCAGGCATCAACATGCCACCCAAATTCATCCCAACTAGCTTTCGAGCATGGAAAGAGGCATCATCATCGTATAAGCATCAGTAAATAAGTGCAGACAAGAAGAGAAATAAGAGTATAGAAAAGGCAACAACAACACATACCTGTAATCTCGACTCGTCAGCCTGCTGCGATATGGAAGCCTTACGCCTGCCTCAAGGAACGCCGTACGCAAACCGTTTCAGAGGAGCAGGCGCGCAGCTGTGCATTAGTAGATTCCAGCTGCAGCACACCGCCCCAATCTGCTAAGATGACAAGCCAGATGGGTACATGTAACAGGTAATGTGTGTGAGGTCCTCCGTTTCGTGTCCCATGCGCACGGGCATGCGCTGCCTGCCGGTGAGATATGAGGAAAGGCTTCAATACCAAGACGCTGTCACCTCATCGCGTGCACTTGCCCTGCACTGGCTGTATCAGAGGACTTCGATTCGAGATGGGTAAAATAGAGGACTGTAGTACGTCGTCACGGTTTTCTTCTACACGCAGTGGTTATCGCAGTTGTAAGCCTGTGATCGCGATGGCGAGGGTGCGCCGCATGTGGGCGGCCTCCCAGTCCTCCTCGCGCAGGGGCGCTACCAGGAAGGCGACCGGTGCCCTCTTTGCCCTCTTTCTCCTTCTGACACCCCATTCGTGCTGGGGATGCACCTAGCGAGCCGTTCACCGAATTGCAGATGGAGGACTCCAAGTTGCGGGTGGCTGTGTCGAGAGTCCTCCATGTGCGTGGGAGACGCATGCAGCCAATCACAGCTTCCGACCGGGTTCCTCCCCGGCGGCGCGATCGATTTAGCACGCCGCGCTGATGTGTGTATGACAGGGCGCGGGGGCTGGAAGTTTGAAAATAAGTCAGGCATTGCACTCGCGCAAAGGAGTTTTACTGGCGCTGGCGATCGATGTCGTGCAATCACGCCTTTGTGGAGTGGAAGGTACCTAGGGGCTTTAAGTGGGTCGCAGCTTCCAGTCTACGATGTATCTCACAAATGGTACTACATCGCATGGAGCGGACAACAAAGTATTGATGGAGAATTGTGGCGTGGAGAAATTGATGCAATCAACGCGCCGATGTCTATAATACCATGCATGCCTATTGCACCATCAGATGCGACAATGTAGTCGATCCGATTCGAATCCGAAGCGACAGTAGGTATCGTAACGCGTCTAAACCAGATTCGCCTCGTAAACATGAAAACCTCTTCCGCTGTGCAAGAGTGGATATCGTACGAAATCAACGTGAGCCAAAACAAAATCAGATCCTACGCCTATCCTATGGGCGTGTCGATCGAAACCCCTCCCATAATCCATCCCCGTCTATTGCTGATGTTGGTATTGATAGTTGTGTTGTGCCGTCAGATACGACATGGCAGGGTAGGTGCTGCCTTGTTGGTAAGCCATAGCGTTGTTGGTATCGTAACCCATATTCGGCATCTCAGTCGTCAAGCCCTGCGGCTCTTGGGTGTAGTAGGAAGGAAAAGGTGTAGTCGTAGCGTCGACCGGAGAGTCCGTGTACAGCGATTGCTGTTGTTGAACAGTATTAACAGGATTCATGCCATACTGTTGCACCCCATTCTGCATATTCCCATTCTGGTATGGCTGACTAGGAATTTGCAGCCCGTTCGTATAGCCATTGTGTGGCTTCCGAGGGACCTGGAGGCCTGGGTAGGTCTGGTTCGTGAAATTTGTGGCATTGTTTGCCACATAGTTCGCATAGCCGCTAGTCTGAGTCGGTGGCGGTGCCATTTGCGGTGGGGGGTAGGTTTGCATCGGCGTAGATCCTGCCTGAGATTTTGTTTCCTGAGGGTAAAGACTGTGAGGGTCGATACCAGGTGCATATGCGGCATTAGGATTGTACCGCGACGGGTTGTCTAGTGGCGAGCGGCCCGGGGTAATGGAGAGCTTGCGGCTTTCGGGCAGCTCAACCACGGGGCTAATGATGCTGTCCGCGTTGAGCTGCTTCTGGTCCACAAGCGTAAGAATGGGCATGCTGAGCTGCTCCATGTGTTTTGCCAAGTGAACAGTCAATTTCTTCCAGCTCGTACAGATGTTGCCACAAAACCGGCATGGCTCGTCCTTGGGTTGCTTAGTGGTGTCGCGACGACATCTTTCGACAATGGCCCAAATGTCATCTGCCTTTGCGTTAGCGAGATCTTAAACAAAAAGACTTGCCCATCTCACCCTGATCACCAGTTGCTGTCGCGTCTTTATGAGCGGCTCGGGTACGTTGCCGTGGCTCAGCTATCTTGTGCTCACGAACGAGATGCTGCACGAAGTTGTCCTTGCGATAGCAGGTATGGTTGCAGTCTGCAATCTGACATGTCCAGTTCTCCAACTGACGGTGTCGCTCGTTCTCATGTCTAACCCAGTCTGCCTTGCGCTTGAACGATTTCGGTTCCCCGCAGTTGGGGAAGGTGCACGTGAAAGGCTGTACGTCTTCATGCACATGCTTGGTCCAATCGGACGGCTTGTAGAACTTTTTGACCTTGAAACACAACGTGCATTCGAACTCGGCTGGTAGGCGCTTGACAGGGGGAAGAGGTACACCTGATGGGAACGCGGCAGGAGCCACATTACCTTCTAGCGGGGGCTCGCCATCGTCGTCGGAAGAACCAGGTGCAGTGACCTGGAAACCGATGAAAGGAGTTTCGGCATCCTTGGCACCGGCTTTCGGAGGGAGTTGCTTCGCCTCACCACCGAGGTCAGTACAAAACTTTGCAGAGGCACAATTCTTGTGCTGTACGGCGTTGAGATGCTTGACCTTGAACTCCAATAATCTCTTGTATCTGCGCATTTGCTCCTGGGTGATACGCTCAACCATGAAATCAGCCAGGCGTGGGTTCAGTTGTCTAGCATGACTTCTGAAGCCGTCGTACGTTGGGACAATGGGATCGGTGCGGACCGTGAGATCCATACTAACGGGGTCTTGGTCATCTTCATCATCGTCTCCAGCTGGACTTGGCTGTGCGGAAGGCTTCGTGGCCTCTGTGTCCGCGAGCGGTGAAGCTAACATAGGCATCGGTGGACCTCCGTGCTGCGTCATCAGCTCAGCCAGCCCAGGCGATCTCCCTCTCCCGATATCGCTCCTGCTTCGAGTACGTCTGATGGCATTTTTGGGACCTTTGTACCACGGGCCCGCTGCCGCAGACAGACCTACTGAACTAAGTTGTCCCCCGTCCTTGCTATGACTGCTTAGGTTTGTATCGACTCGAGGAGATTTTGGACGACCCCAACTACCTATACGTTTCGGCTTCTCCATGATGGGCTCCTTGGACTTGTCCGAGGCTGCATCAGACTGCTGCACTGGTATACTGCCCTTGCGCTTGAGTATGTTGCTTGGTGTACGTTTGGGTAGAATGTTTTCCAAGAAGCTGGGCCGCCGTTGTCGCTCCTTGCTCTTTCTTGGCTCGGGTTCGATGACTTTGATAACACCGGGAGCTGCACGTATGCTACCAATATCAGACTCGCTAAGACGGCGTGAGCCAACCGTTGCCGCAAGTGAAGCTTGTTCAACGTCCTTCGCTCGCACCAAGAAGCGCATCATCGCAGCATTGGATGTGGGCGGCTGATATCGAGCCGATGGGTTTGGCGGGTGTGGCTGCAACGGTCCATCAACCCATGGCTTGACAGCGGTACCATCCTTTGGTATAAGTTCTTGTGTCGGAGGGAAGTACGAGTTTTCTATATGGCTTGCGTTGATATCGATCGC